GGGTTGGCGCGAGTGGATGGGACACCACGAGTTTAGAAAAAACTCGCTTCCATGGTTTGGTGAATTCAACATCTCGGATGTACCCTTTGTTGCACGGAGCGTTCAACCAGGTAGATGGAGCATGAATTCCCAGAGGGTTATGTCCATATGTAGAACACATATGGGTTTCAGAAAAGTGAGAAAAAAATTCAATCAGGAAGTAGGATCGAGCAAACAATACGAAAAACCGGTCGAAATTAGAACGCATATTTCTGGCTCGGTATTGGGGGGAAATTGGCGCCAGCAATCAGACTGGCGCCAGCTTTTAACTGTAGCGCCTGACGCCAATACTAGCGTCTGGCGCTACGACTAAAATACTGGTGCCAAGCTCTGGCCCTTGACGCTACTTCCCACATGCCTCAACATATGCTCGATAAAATTTTCCAGTTTCGCGCGGTGTTATTTCGGTCCTAGCTGTGAAAGATATTTCTCAAATTTCCTACGTGTAAAATCCTATGTTTTTAACTCATTACGGATGGTCTTTCCAATGAGATCTTTTTTATGCATATGACAATAATGTTAATCAAAATTACGCACATGAAATACTTAGAACGTTTCGAGTCTCATCCACTCATTCTAAATCATTGCCGAAACAAATTCAGGAATTAAAATAGAAATCCTCCCCAGTGGAGTCGCCAAACACTGTGGGGAATAATTTCAAGCTTTAAACCCCTAGCTTGAACCCCACTGTGATCATACATTAAAGTACGGTGACGTCCAAAAGGGAAGAAGATAGAGCAAAAGAGTCGCCAACAAGTTTTAGGAACTTGTAAACCGTTCACAGGGTGAAGGTTACACCCCTTAACGATCCAAGAGATCGTCAACTCCATAAGGTTTAGAACCAAATAAGGGTTCGGGGATGAAGGTACAAATCTAACCTAAAAGAGATTGAACCTGCCCTAATAATAGGCCTCTACTTTATTCTGATTGTATTCATGTGCGCTTTCTAATTAACATACAATCAATAGGTTAAGCCCTAAACCTTTTTATCTATGTTGGTTGAATATTAATGCACAAATAAACTATTATTGGCGATCACTTGAAATTATAATCACATTAACCCTAACAAGATTATTAAATATCTTATTAAGCGTGATTACAAGTACAAATTTCCTTTAAACATGCAATAAAAGGCTTGATCAAGCAATAAAAATAAATATCAAGCAACATAATAAATAATATTATGAATAATAATAGCCATAATAATAATCATAAATAAAATAATCATCATCAAAATAATAATATTAATATTCATAATCATCATAAATTATAACAATTATAATCACTATCATGTTCATGTTAATATTAAAGCATAATAATAGCAAGACCCTAGGCATGATACTAATAAGATTAATAACAAACCCTAGCATGTCACTAAGCAATAAAAATCAAATCTTTAACCCTAACATGATACTAACAATCATAAATATTAGGAAGAACATAGGAAGCATCGCAGGAATCATAATAAGCATATTTAATATTAAAATTACCCTAGACATGATATTAGGAATATCATGATAACAATATAAACAAGATGTCTATATCATAATATCAATAAAAATCAATTAAAGTACTTACTTTGATGCCTCGTACCTCTTTCTTATAACAAAATACACACGTTAGTAACTTCAAGGAAAATAATAATCAAAACAATTAAATTAAATAATTGAAATAGAGATTTGGGACCAAACCCTCAGAAATTAAACCTTTCACGTCTAGGGCGAAGGCAACTTCGAATATGGCTAGGTGTTTCTAGATCTAATGAATACGGAATTTTGTATGTAAAAGCAAAGTTTAGAAAAGAGAGAGAAAGATGAATGATGAGAATTAATTGAATGAAAACTGATTGTAGGTGAATATTCGTGAGAATACGTGAATGATGAGAATTGGTGAATGAAAACAGAGTTTTTAATACGTTATTTATAGAGAAAATCTGCCAAAAAGATAAAATAAACAAAACAGAGTCTGACGCACAAAAAACAGAGCTGGCGCAAACCCTGGCTAACTGACGCCAGGCACCAACACCAGCGCCTTGGGCTTATGATATATCGTTGGAAAGCTCTTGGCAAGCCTCATCCAACTACATTATTATTGGACCCATATCATGGACCAACCAAACTGGATTGACTGTTTTCTTAAAATAAGTTTTCAAAAACAGGGAGAAGAGAAAAGAAATTTAAAACTATCCGCAACACTAGACTTTCCACACTTTCACTTCATTCGATTATGATTCAACGTGAAAGGTACTCATCACTAGGTTTTGTTTTGGGGAGACACAAATGGTTGTCTACAGTGACCTTTTGTTTTATTATCGTAGTTGGCATGGTGTTGGGTCATTATTACTGTGATTAGTTTGGAATTTGGGCTCCAACGCTTTGTTTGGATAGTAAAGAAGGAAGGAAAAGAAGGGGAGGGAAAATGGAGGAAGGGAAGGGAAAAGAAAGGGAGGGGGAGGTGAGCTCCATTTTCCCTCCAAATCTCTCCAATTTTGGAGAGATTATGGTTATTATAGAGAAAGGGAAAATGGATCCCTCCCTCTCCTTCCCCTTCCTTCCCCCAATCTTTTACCCAAACAAGAGATTTTGTCCCCCTCCATTTCTCTTCTCTTCTTTTCCTTCCATTTTTTCCTATCCAAATAAAGTGCAAATGTCCAAACCTTGAGAAATGATAGTTGGTCCTACGGTCCTACCACTTTAAATGTATGGATGGAAACTAACTGAATATGCTCATTGAGCAAATGGGGATGAAACTCAGTTAAAGTTTGTTATGTGTGTTTTTCCCTCATATGTATACAAGTTTGAGCGTTAATAGCAGATCAATCATTGACGTTCATTATTAACTCATTTATTCACAGCAGTAGACTAATTATTTGTTTGATTGATTGATTAAAAACTTGTTTTTATCATTAATAAAAAGATTGTTTAAGGCTTGTTGATTTGAAGTTAATAATTTAGCATGTAGATGAATGTCACTTCATAAGCTTTGCTTGTATATTAAGACTAAGGTAGAAATGAGTTTGTTTCAATCAAATGAGTGTAGAATAACAAAAGCTTGATTAAGGGAAATTATTTTTTATGATTGATAGATAGACCCTACTAAAGTTTGATTTGTGAAACAACCTGATCATGAGCCTAGCTAGAACATAGATGATTGTAAATTGGCTCATAAGATTTTTTTTGTGTGTTAGTATTGGAACAAAGTTAAAATAAGCTCTTTAGATTTAATGATTATAGATTGATATGAAGTTGTTGAAAGGAAATTATATATATGAACTTTAGATGGATGAGAGCATGTTTTAGCTCGATTGTTGAACAAGCCTATCATTAAGCCAAGTTAGTTTTTATTGGTGTTGAATTTGGTAAGGAGGCCCAACCAGCTAAGCTTGACTTTATTAAGCTAAATGAAAGCTAAATGAACTTAATCATGGATACGATGATAATTAGGTTTAGCTTGGCTTATTTTACACAATTATCTATATCTTATTGATAAATTGTGAAAGTTCCAAGTCATTTTAGTTGTTGGTTAGCTGTTGTGCTTAGGCTTTATGTAGGTTGGCATGTTTTGGTTGCTCTGCATAGATCTTTTGGAGTCGCATGGGGAAAAAGAGCAAAAGAAAAATTGCTCCAATTAGAAGTTGCTGTAATTTTATAATTTGTAAACCTTTTCTTTTTGTAGGCTCATTCTGTCTGTAAATACCCCTAGCCTTTCTGCTTCTTAACTGATGGTGAATGTTGCTAACGCCCTCCCCCCCCCCCCCCCCCCCCCCCCCCCCCCCCCCCCCCCCCCCTTCCTCTTTCCCCTTTTATGCCCAAAGTTTTGGCTTATTTAGGCAGCTTGGTGCTTTGGCATAATGTCTGGGCTGCTTTGTTACCTAGTAGTATGCCTCAGCCTTTACCACCCTTGCTGCTTTGGGGAGAATGAATATAGATCAAAATCACTTTTGGCCGCTGTAATGATTTTGAAGTGATCATCGCCGGATTATCTGTTTTATGAATTGTTTGAGGAGAAGATAAGGATAATAATACTGAGCCTTTAGTTCCCTTGTTTTATTTATTTAATATCAGTCAATGCGGCCATTGAAAAGCTGATGCAGGTTGATAATATGGCATATTTAGAATTCATACCATGTTTTAAACTATGATTACGTGGGTTGGCAGGTAGGCAATATTCTGTTTCATTACATTACTATCCTGGATATTTCCATAAATAGTTACTTATTGGGCTGTGTTGTGTTCTGATTTTGCTCAAAATTTATGTTTCTCGCATCCCCAAATAACTTCCTTTGCCTTTTATCTTTCTCATATTAGAACTTTTTTTTTCTCCTTTTACTCTTCATTTGGCTATTGTGGGGATGGTAGAAATCAACATGAAGGAATTGGAGGCCAGTGAGAAAGTGAATGCAATGAGTTTTAGTAAAACAAAACATAAGGCACTAATGAGCCATCTTGGTAACCTCTGCTTTATGAATTGCATTGAAGTTCTTTTCTTAGATGGCTCATTATTTTCGAATTCTTGATGGAACCTAGTTTTATGCAATATAAACAGTATTTTCCTCGGATGGGTTGTTCACTTCCCAATGAAGTTAAATCATCAAAAAGCTAGACAAGAGTACTAGAGTGTTACAAGACAAGAGCCATGTTGCTCTTCTATAAAGTTTTTGTTTTCTTAACGTCCCAGATATACTATTGTCTCTCCTACCGATCTTCCTTGCCTTTTTTAGAACTGGGAGGGGGGGGGGGGGAATGGGATGTGGACTACAAAATTTTTCTTCATCCTAGAAAGATTTAATTTCTCACTTAATGTATCTATGTAATTACTTGTGATACGATGGAAACTTCTATGATGCGTGTGTCATACTATAGATCTTGACACTATGGTTGGGTGTATGAATGAACATAGTAAAGTTCCATCCTGATTGTATTATGAAATTTAATTGATGGTTGATTTGAACTCTATATTAGGTGAACTACTGACAACTAAAGAAGCAAAGAGACGGCAACAAGTGTATGATGAACTAGCAAAAGGTCGCCGTTTTTCATCTGCTCTTTTGGTGGTGCGGGAGTTTCTTCCATCAAGAAAAGCATGTTTCAGGATCAATATTGACGCCACAAGAATTGGTAATGTTGCACGGTTTATAAATCATTCTTGTGATGGCGGCAATCTGTCTACAATATTGATTAGAAGTTCAGGAGCTGTATTGCCCCGGGTTTGCTTTTTTGCTTCCAGAGATATTCATGCAGGGGAAGAACTTAGCTTTAGCTATGGAGATGTAAGGCTTAGACCGGAAGGATTGCATTGTTTTTGTGGTAGCTCTTGCTGTTTCGGCATCTTGCCCTCCGAAGACACATGACAGACAATTGCTACCGTTCTGAATATTCATGCTTTCCACTTTCCAGAAAAGGCAATAAAATTGGTAAACATATTTCTTCTTGTATCTGCATTCTACCATAAATTCTGTTATATATAAATATCGTTTCCATGAAAACATGTAGGTGCTTTCAAAGTTACCCTTTACACTATGTTGTTACATGTTACTGAATCTGTCAAGAGTTTTGAAATTTATGCAATGACAATTGACAATAGTTGTTTTATTAATCCGATTGAAAATAACCGGTTACTTTTGAACTTCAATTGGTCTAATCCAAAATCTCTTAAAAGTCAAGCTACATAAGTTGTTAATAGGGATGCCAATTTTAAAAGGATGTTTATTCATATGCTAACATGTTAATAGGGTGACTCTTTTATCAACCTAAACTCGATCCATTAAAGTTAGCTTTAAATTACGCATTAAAATTCTTAAAAAAATCAATTTTGTTCCTAAATATCACTTTCCAATAGGGTTGAGCAAAACTACTCGAACAACCGATCTGTAACCATTCCGAAAATTAGGGTACCCGATCCAATAATCATAACGGTTCGGGTACCCGTTTCGATAATTTGTTATCGGGTATGGTACCCGTACCCGTTAGTACTATTACTTCATTCTATTTTTGACAAAATTTTTAGGGTTGAGCAAAACTACTCGAAAAACCGATTTGTAACCATTCCGAAAATTAGGGTACCCGATCCAATAACCATAACGATTCGGGTACCCGTTCCGATAATTTGTTATCGGGTATGGTACCCGTACCCGTTAGTACTATTACTTCATTCTATTTTTGACAAAATCTTTTTACCACTGTATTGAGTGTATTCTACTTCTACTTACCCCCACATTATTTATACGTTTATGTTGTGCTTTATTCATGTTTTTATTACATCAACTCTCTCTTTTTTTTTTCCTCCTTTATGTTTCAGTCTACTCACTTTTTAAAAAATTTCCAAGAATTAAGAGTCTACAATAAATTAGTTATAACTTTAGAAACAGAGGGAATATATCATGAAGATAATTATATTATAAGTTATTATTTATAAAAGTATTACGCTAGCTATTAAAGTAGGAATGTACATGCAAAACATGTTTATATTTTCACATTATTATTTTAAAAAATTAAAATGTTTTTTGTAAAAAAAATAAAAAAAAAAAGTTTAAAACCGGTCCATTTGAATTTTAGACTTTTTTTTTAATCGTATTGATTCCTGTACACTAGCATTACCGGTATGGTAATCGGTCTTAAAATTTTTAATTTTCCTACATTCGGTCTAGTTCGATTTTTGACACATGAATCACCCTATTAATATATAAATGACAACAATATTTTGCAATTTGTTACATTTACTTTAAGGATTAGTATGATATTCCTAACTCCTAAGTTGTTATCTTAGTTAACAAATACATTTAATATTAATTATTGATGCATATAAACCTACTTGCCGTAGAGGGTTGTGACAAAACCATATATTATATAAATATACCCATGAAAAAACATTATACATTACTTAATGTTTGGGTCCAATTTAGTCCAATTGGGCCTGGTCACTGAATGATCCAATTAAAAGCCCAAGGCAAAGGTTCAACTCTCCAAATATGCTAAAGTCAAAAATCAACATCCTCAAAGCCATGTCAAGGTCAGTCAACGGCCCAATCAGCTTGGCCCAGCCCAACTGATTTCCGGGCCCAATCCGCCTCCTTCATTAGCCAAGGTATAAAAGCCAACAATTTGGTCAATTCTTGGTAAGACGAAGACAAAGACAAAAAAGCCTCAAGCAACTAAACTCTTGCACAGCTTTCTCTCTCTAATATACTGACTTAAGCATCGGAGGGGCCTTCCTCGGCGTCCCCCCCGAGGCTAGTTTACGTGTATTTGTTGTGCAGGAAACCCTCGGCTCCTGCGTCGTTCGGACCGAGACCAAGTTCCCTCAAGATAAAAGGATCTTCCGAGATCCGATTGTTTTCATCCGAAACAATTTGGCGCCGTCTGTGGGGAACGCTACTAAATTTCGCGTCAGTCATCAAACACTCCGGCAGTCGCCATGACTAAGAGTGGAAAGAGTTCCAAGAAGGCTAAGAAGGGAGGAGGCCGGATTACGGTGAGGGAACGCCAGCCGGTTTATCCCTCCCCGGAGCAAGCCTCTTCCGAATCGGAGGCCCCCATTTCTCCGGAAAGGGAAGCCTCAAGAGGTCCTAGCCTCCAGGAGGAGAACACCTCGCACCACACTCGGCAGCCGGGGCCATCCCCGAGACCGAGTGGCTCAGGTGCGAGGAACTCCCCGCCGCGCCATAGCGTGCAATCCAGGTCACATCCGCGGGAGACTCCTCTCTCCGGACCCTCCACCGAGGAAGTGGCCAGAGCAGTGGCCATCTGCATGGAGTTCCTTAAAGCTCAAGGGGCTCCAATCCAGATGCCTGATGATCACCAGCCGAGAAACCTGAAAAGGAGGATCGGTCAGGATGATGGTGGACAAGTTCCACCACATAGACAGCTCGGCCAGAGGTGGCGAGGGGACACCCGAAACTCCAGTAAGGAGAGGAGGAGGAACCCTCAACCCTCTGACCACTCCGAAGCTCAGAATTCTATGGGGCCCTCCAAGGACCCGGAATTCGCCCGCCGAAGCGTTCACGAGCGCTTGGGTTCGAGGGAGGTGAGTGTGCATAGCCGCCTCACCTTCCCAGAGGATACCGGACCCCACCCAACCTTGTCTCAGCCGGGGACGAAAACCACTTCCACCTCTGAGAGAGGAGGGAGCGAGGTCCCTGAGGCCGGGTACAAGGGGAAGGCGGTCATGGTTCCATCGAACTCGCCCTTCCAGAAGTGGATTCTGGAAGAGCATGTGCCAACGGTCAAAATCCCGGCACATATTACTTACGATGGTACCTCAGATCCTAAGGATCACATTGCCTCTTACGAGGGGCACATGTATCTGAACCCGAGGTCTGAGGCTACCTGGTGTAAATACTTTCCTACGACCCTCAAAGGTGTTGCCCAATCCTGGATCACCAAAGGGCTCAAGGAAGGCTCCATAACCGGTTGGAACGACCTCTCCAACAAGTTCAAGAGCAAATTCTCTACGGCCAACCGCCGAGAGAAGACCACTGCAGAGCTAATGAGTCTGCAGCAGGCGGAGGACGAGAGCCTCCGCGACTATCTGACTCGCTTCAGCAACGAGTCATCCGGAATCACAAGCCTGGATCAAGGCCTGGCCGTGTTCGCGCTACGGAACGGCCTCCAAGCTGGAAAGTTCCTGGACTTCATGGTCATGCATCCCCCGCAGACCCTGGAGGAAGCCTTGGAAGCATCGGATAGGTTCATCCGAGCCGAGGAGTGGAACAGATCCAGGTCTCAGTCTTGTCCGAGAATTGAGAAGCCGAAAGGGCAGCAGCCCGAAGTCTCGGCGCAGAGGAAAGGGAAGGCTAAGGCCTCAGAACCGTCCTCTGCTGCCGAGCCGAAGAAGGAAAGACACTTTCCCTACACGGGAAGGTACGATTCATACACTCCACTCTCCCTTCCCCGTGCTAAGATTTTCAGCACGACGAAGGACGAGGGGAGATTTAAAAAACCTCGTCCGTTGCCTCCCTGGCATCAGACGAGGGGAAAGGACCAGTGGTGCGAGTTCCATGACTCACCCGGACATCGCACCGAGGACTGCGTCCAGCTGAAGGACCAGATTGAGGATCTGGTCCGCAAGGGGTACCTGAGCCGATACCTCGCGGACAGGCGCGAGGAGAAAAAAGCTGAAAAAGATTCTCGGCAGGACCTCAACTTCGCTCGGAAGAAGGATAAGGGACCTCAGGGCAAGGAGTCCCTCGACATCCTAGTTATTTCCGGGGGAATCTCGCGAGGCACAGCCAAACGCCAACTGAGGGGTCTAACCCATCAGATTCATCAGGCTGAGCTTCGGCAGTCCCAGTCACCGGCGCCGAACATCCTGTTCACAGCCGAAGACTGTGAGGGGGTGGTATACCCCCACGATGACCCACTAGTAATCATTCTGGGCATCGCCAACCGCAACGTCTGGCGGACCCTCGTCGACGGCGGTAGCGGGGCGAACATCCTCTTCCGAGGAGCGTTCGACCAGCTGAGGATGGGAGCCGAGCACCTGGACCCCGCACCCTACCCGGTGTCTGGATTCAACGGCTCTTCATCGTATCCTGACGGGAAGATTACACTTCCTGTCACCATCGGCGAAGGCCGAGCAGCTAGGAATATCATGGCCGAATTTTTGGTCGTAGATGCTCCATCTGCATACAACGTGATCATGGGGAGACCCCTCATTCACGGCATTCAAGGAGTCGTCTCCACGTATCATCAAATCATGATATACGTTTCAGACGAGGGACGCTCCGAGAAAATAAAGGGCAGTCAAAAAGAAGCCCGCCGATGCAATCACCTCAAGCCATCCACGTCTCGCCGAGGCGACCGTGGCGATGGGGAGGAAAAGCACCGGGACCGAAACGCCAAAAAGCCGAGAGGCTCAGACGTTTCGGCTAATGAAGCCCCAGACAACGAGAAATCTGATGGGGGCCAAAAGGCTGACTCCGCCTCAGAGCCGAACGACTCTGATGGCCAGCCGCGGTCAGGAAAGTCTGCTAATATTGATAGCAGGCCGGAATTCGAGGAATCCAACTCTAAGAGCATGGAGACGGATGACCTGACCGAGTCAATAGAACTGACCGTAGGAGATCCGAACAGATGTGTTAGCATCGGGTCGTCACTGGAGCCAAACACCCGTGCGGCACTCGTCCAACTCCTACGGGCCAGTGGAGACGTGTTCGCCTTCTCAGCCGCAGAAATGCCCGGGATTGATCCGGACTTCGTCTCCCATAGGCTTAATGTCGACCCCTCCAGTCGACCCATTAAGCAGAAAAAGCGGAACTACTCCGCCGAAAAGAACCAGAACATCGCAGCTGAGGTCGATAAGCTCCTAGATGCTGGGTTCATTGAACCCTGTCAGTATCCGGAGTGGCTGGCCAATGTTGTAATGGTTCAGAAGGCAAATGGTAACTGGAGGATGTGCGTTGACTTCACGGACCTGAATAGGGCATGTCCCAAGGACTCCTATCCGCTGCCGAGGATCGACCAACTGGTCGACTCGACAAGCGGGCATGCTCTGCTCAGTTTCATGGACGCATTCTCGGGATACCATCAGATCTTCATGCACCCCGAGGACCGAGCTAAAACAGCGTTCATAACAAGTTCCGGGTTGTACAATTACAG